GGATCACAGGAGATGATTTCAACTTGTTTTTATGATCGTGAAAAACTACCTTTCAGTCAGACCCCGAAAGCGAATACTGTCCTACAGCCCTGGGGGCGTGGACATACGCAAAATCAGCCTACATAACCGTAAATAACAATCCCGCGTAGAGCCCCCAACGCTGGGCTCCTTATTGATGTTCAGTCCACGTTTAGAGAGTCTCAGGGAGTGCGTGCAGGGGCGGGGGCAGACAGCAGGTTCCACCTGACCCTGTGGGAGGCTGGTGGAGACACACGGGTTGAGCCCATCTCCGCTGGGGCAGAGGGCTGCTCAGCCCAGGAAGCAGCACCTGGACGGTGTTGCCTAATCTTGAAATTGTTCAGACCCAGGACAGAAGGACTGCAACAGAGGAAAGCCTGTAGTCTCCACTCGCCACCTGGTCCTAGAGCCTCCGAGGTGGGTTAGAGGGCAGAAGAAAATCGAGGAAAATCCCAGAGGCTCCTCATTTTCACCTGTTCTCCTTGCCTTCCCTTTCTCAACCACTATGGGTTTTTGGAGGGTTTTGTTAACAGCCAATTCAAATACCATATAACTCACCCACTTAAAGTGTATCGAATTAGATAGGTTTGGCTATATTGCATTATTCATTTTTTTAAAGATTTTATTCATTCATCTGTCAGAGAGAGAGAGAGCGCACAAGCAGGCCAGAGCGGCAAGGCAGAGGCAGAGGGAGAAGCAGGCTCCCCGCTGAGCAGGGAGTCCGATGCAGGACTTGATCCCAAGGTCCTGGGATCATGACCTTAGCAGAAGGCAGACGGTTAACCGACTGAGCCACCCAGGTGTCCCACATTATTCATTTTTTTGAAGTTGTGAAATATATATAACATAAAATCTTTCATTTTAACCATTTTAGGTAGGATCATTTTTATTATCGTAAAATATGTATAACATAAAATTTGCTGTTTTAACAATTTTTTTAAAAAGATTTTATTTATTTATTTGACAAAGAGCACAAACAGGGAGAGTGGTAGTTAGAGGGAGAGGAAGAAGCAGACTCTCCGCTGAGCAGGGAGTCCGATACAGATCTCGATCCCAGGACCCCGAGATCATGACCTGAGCCGAAGGCAGGTGCTTAATGGACTGAGCCACCCAGGCACTCCTGTTTTAACCATTTTTAAGTGCACAGTTTTGGGCCATTAAGTACATTCACACTGTGCAACCATCACCAACATCCATCTCCAGAACTCTTCATCCCCCCAAACATAAACTCTCTATTCATAAAGCAATAACTCCCCATCCTTCCCTCTTCCCCCCCCCAGGCCCAGGTAAACTCTAACCAATTTTCTGTCCCTCTGAATTTGCCTATTCTAGATATTTCATGTGAGTGGAATCATACAATATTTATCCTTTTGTGTTTGGCTTATTTGACTCAGCATAGAATCTTGAAGGTTCATCCATGTTGTAGTGTGTGTTCAAATTTAATTCCTTTTTATGGCTGAATAATATTCCATAATATGTATACACTACATTTTGTTTATCCATTCGTTTGTTGATGGATACTTCAGTTGTTCTCACCTTTTGGCTCTTACGAATAATGCTGCTATGAACACTGGCCCCCAAGTATCTATTTGAGTTTCTTTTCAGTTCTTTGGTATACATACCTGAAAGTGGAATTGCTGGCTCATATGTTAATTTAGCTTTTTGAGGACCCACCAAACTGTTTTCCACAGCTACACCATTTTACAGTCCCACCGGCAATGTGTAAGGGTTCCAATACACTGCTTATCTTCTGTTTGGGGTTGTTTGTTTTTTAATTACAGCCACTATAGTAGGTGTGAAGTGGCGTTTCATGGTTTTGACTTGCCATGCCCTGTTGACTAGTAATATTCAGCATCCTTTCATGTGCTTATTGGCTATCTGTAGATCTTCTTTGGAGAAATGTAGTAGTTTGCTAGGACCGCCATAACATAGTACCACAGACTGGGTGGCTGGCTTAAACAACAGAAATTTATGTTCTCACAGTTCTGAAAGCTGGAAGTCTGAGGTCAAAGTGTTGGCAGATTTGGTTTCTTTTGAGGTAGGTCTCTCTCCATAGTTTTTAGAGGGTGTCTTCTCCCTGTGCCTTCATTCGGTCTTTTTTCTGTGCCTATCTGTGTCCTAATCTCCTTTATGAGGACACCTGTCCTACTGTATTAAGGCCTACCCCGGTGACCTCATTTAATCTTAATTACTTCTTCAAAGACCTTATCTAAATACTGTCACATTTTGAGATACTAGGGGTTAGCATGTCAACATATTAATTTGGGAGGGAGGGGACACAATTCAACCCATAACAAACGTCTATTTAAATTCTTTGCCCATTTTTTTTCAATTGGGTAGTAACCACTGTGAGTTTTGATGTTGACTGTGTGGTTTTATCTTTTATAGAGGTGAAGGTAGGGATAGAATAGGAGAGAGGAAGGTTATTACTAGGTTTTAAATCTTGAAATGTTTTATTTGATTAGGTGTAAGCACACTCACACTGTCCCAAAGGACATTTTCCCACTTTTCCCTATAGAGTTCCAACCATACTATCTCTCACTAGAATAATGCAATAATATCCAACAGCAGCAGGCAAGAAATCACTATATTATGCCTGAATCATAGTAAATCAGTTTTCAAATGCCTGCTAGACTATAACTTGCTTAAAGGCAAGTGTCATTTCTTACCCAACTTTGAGTCTGGCTCAACATCTGAGTCTCAGGCCATGACAGCATTTTCTCATGTGATAAACAAAATAACCTATGCAGTAGCTCTTATTATCCCCACTATACAGATGAGGAAACAGAGGCTCAGAGGGATCAAGGGGCTTGCCCAAGGTTACACAGTTAAGTAGCAGAAGGAAAGTATAGACCTGGATCTAGCCAACTCATCCTTCCATCCACTGTGATTTCTTTCCCCATGAAGGTAGAAATGGGGTATAAGGGCACAGTAAGCAAGCAGCATTGAATCCATTGAGATTTCTGAGTGAGCCGAGCTCATCTCTAAGGGGTGAATGCTTACCATTTAGAAGGTAGCATTGTCTGTCTTCACAACGGTTTTTTTTTTTTTCTTTCCGTACTTCCTAACTTCTTATTTTAAGTCTTGCTAAAATCAAGGGAGATTGCATCTCTTAGGCTTTGCCTACCAAAAGCTTTAACAAAAGAATGGGTCCTGAATGCAGTTGTGCGATGTATTAAACACTCTCCTGTCTCCAGTGGTAAGTAAAAGAGCTATGTAATCAAGTCAATCTCTCCATCACAGCTCAATTTTACACATTCACTGATGAGAATCCTCTTGGTATTGTTAGTATAAGCTACAATTACTTTTTGAAGTAAGGTTCTCTAATGTCAACATAAAGGAATATTTTAATTTCTCATGCACATATCAATTAAGTAGATATTATAATAACAGACAGGAACTCAAGTTCAGTCAATATGCTACATTCATGGTAATTGTAATAGAGACAGAGGATTTTTTTTTTTTTTAATAAAAATTGAGGGGATGGGGCAAAAGGTTATTAGATAACAGTTTCAATACACCAAGATAGTGAAAACAGTCAATGATTATTGTCCTTTTAAAAAAAATTTCTCCATCTAAGACAATGATAACAGCATGCACAAATTATCCACACTGGTTTTCAGCCCTCTGCTGGTGAGATGAATTTTTCTTTTCTTTTCTTTTCTTTTTTCTTTTCTTTTCTTTTCTTTTCTTTTCAAATATCCAAATAGACCTGGACTCTTCTTGGTAATGGGCAAAGAAGCTTTTGTAGGCATGTCCCAGCCCAACTCCATGGCACTCTCAGCCAGCTGCTTCACAAAGAGAAGGTGTCTTACCCTTTATTACTCCCATGCTGGTAATCTGGGCCATGGTGAATCCAGTCATCGCTCTTTTAACTCATTTGATAAGTTTTAATGGGCAGTTTTTCTCCAGTGGCTCCATTGACCAGCAGTCACCAAACTTGTTAGGTAAAGAAGAAATTTATCTAAGGGATTTTGCAAATATTGCATGTTCTTCCCTTGCTGATTATTTCTCCTTTGAAGAAGGGCATACAGAAGACCCACCTGGTAACTTGTTTAATAATTAGAATTTTGGGGGCGCCTGGGTGGTGCAGTCAGTTGAGCAACCAACTCTTGGTTTCACCTCAGGTTATGATCTCAGGGTCTTAAGCTCAAGCCCTGCATGGGGCTCCAGTCTCAGCAAGGAGTCTGCTTGAGATTCTCTCTTTCTCCCTCTGCCCCTCCTGCTTATGCTCTCCCTCTCTCTAAAATAATAAATAAATAAATTGTTAAAAATAATAAGAATTAGAATTTGTTCATTCCAGCTTTTTTCCCCCAAGGGGAAAAAATAATCACATGTATAGAATGTGTGGGTGAAGTCCTTGGTTCATAAAGGAGAATCTGACCAAGGAAGTCTCATAACACCTTTTCGTGTTTGTATGTGTTTTCATTGTGTGCTCTGCTTTACCTTATGTTCTCAACATGCTAGTTGTTCGATGGGGCATAGGCCACAACAGCACATAGTGGGGTATGTTAGGAAGACACATTACACACTGGGTGCCAGAACGATCTCTTAGTAGCATGTTCCCAACTTTCAATGACTATGGTCATATACTCAGGACAGTTTTATAGTCCAAATCACACATGTTATATCAAAAGCATCTGGTCCATAGTTTCTATAGTTCTTCTGATGAGGGACTATGTGGGTTTAGTAACCAGTAGGATGAGATTAACTTTTCTGATTGGTTGCACAGTTGCTCACAATGCTAGATTCAAAGTCTGGCTTCATATGTGGGCTTCTAAGAAGAGGGATTCCAAAGCAATCCTACATAATGGTTTGGATTGGGTGGCCAGGCAATTCCCCTTGTTCTTATTCATTTCCTTACCCTATTTCCCCCTTGATCCCACTCAAGCAGTGGTCTCTCCAAAAAACACATAAATATATTTGTACAAAAATTTATTGCCATTTAAAAAATTTATGTTTTAAAGGACATATATCACACAGTTTGCAAGTGATAAAGTATACAATATTCTTCCTTGTAAATTTTAGTCAGTTGATTCTCACAGAACACTTCCTTTGATCTTTTGCCAAACTCTGTGTCTACGTCAACCCATGGTTGCAACTGATAAGCAAATGTAGTTTTAACAAGAATATCGGTTGATGTTTTTATTTACATTAACAAGTAAGGTGAAACAATGAAGATATTCAAACTTTTACTTGATCATCATGGACATTATTGACTTCCTTGTTGAATCAGATAATTTTCTAATGCAGGAAGAATATTTCCTCAAATTTTTGTGCTGTTCACAATGTAATGGCTACAGATGTGACAATCTTAAAGTTTAATCTGCATTGTTAATATTTCCTCCATCCCTTCTTCTGTCTAGACAGTCATTAAACCAATAAATCAAGCCCTAACTTATAGCAGTTGTCAACTCCCATGTCATAAATACTCCCACCATTGCAGACTTCAAGCTACCAAAGTGACATTGAATGTGAACCTGGGGAGAGATACACAGTAGCACACCATTATATACTATTCATATCATATAAATACAGTAGATGTTAAAACCTCAAAAGGTTAGATAGTAAACAGGAAGTGATGAGTTTGTTTTTTTAATATAACTGATTTAATTATAAATGTATACAATTTAATTTTCAATAATGGCTGTGTTTAACCGTTGGTCCTCAAAATTTCTGAATTTAGCCATAAGTTCTTATAAGCTGGTAGGAGCCAGCTTCAGCACACAACTGCACCCAACCCACAGAATCTTACGTTACAACACCAACGTTAGTAGGGAATGCTTTAAACTACAGGTAATAGTATCTGGCTAAGAAGGGCCAGATTTAGCTTCAGGAGGGCAAGGATCTTTGTTCATTGAGATCTGTTAAAGTACCTAGAACAGCTCCCAACATACTAGACATGCTTTAGTAAACTTTGCTGAATTGAATTTGTTGAAATAACAGAGGCGTTTAGTTATCACCCACAGTGACAATGGTTCCAAAGCCAGTCCATCCAGGGCACTGGATCAACCACTCTGTGAGGTTCTGGCCTTCTCCTTATGGCTGGCAAGGTGGCTGCCACAGCCCCACTCATACCCTCACATCGAAAGGAGGAAGCAGCAATAGCCATGCTGTAAGTGACATGTCCTCAAGTGCTTTCCTGTTTTCTCAGCTAGGTCAAACACGATCAGTTGCAAGGAGGCTGAGATAGCAGAAGCCCCCTTTTTGGACTCTGTGATGGGAAATAGATAAAGAAAAAGAAGGTCAGGTATCATTACACTATCAAATAACTTCCTTGGTTTCCTACTAGGCCAATTCAATGTTAGGAATCAAGTAGTACAAATACTTATTTTGGTTCAAGTGTCATCTGAATATAATCATTGCTCTGGAATTTTTTATTTGTATTGAGCTCCTTGAAGTATTGTTTTAAAATAAAATGTGTAGGGGCACCCGGGTGGCTCCGTCAGTTAAGCGTCTGCCTTCGGCTGAGGTCGTGATACCAGGGTCCTGGGATGGAAGCCCACACCAGGCTCCCTGCTCAGTGGGGAGTCTGCCTCTCCCTCTGCCCCTCCCCCTACTCATGCTCTCTCTCTCTCGCTCGCTCGATTGCTCTCTTGCTCTGCACTCTCTCTCTCAAATAAATAAATATAATCTTTAAAAAATAAAATGTGGGGTGCCTGGGTGGCTCAGATGGTTAAGCGTCTGCCTTCGGCTCAGGTCATGATCCTGGAGTCCCGGGATTGAGTCCCACATCGGGCTCCCTGCTCGGCAGGGAGTCTGCTTCTCCCTCTGACCTTCCCCCCTCTCATGCTCTCTCTCTATCTCATTGTCTCTCAAATGAATAAATAAAATCTTTAAAGAAAAAATAAATAAAAAAAATAAAAAATAAAATGTGTAATGAATCCAGGAAGAATCATTACACATTTTATTTTTTAAAAGATTATAATTAACCTTTTGAAGGAAATCTAGGATCAACTGCTTATATACAATTTGACTAAAGAAGGTTTGTATCAGATTATCACAAATCAGATTTGTTATAATAACATAGCTACAAAGAAAAAAAATTCCTTGTAAAAATGCTCTAGCCCATAAAACATTCAAATAAAATAACAACAAATACAACAACATTCTACAGAGAATTTGAACAGTTTTTAGGAATATATTCTCCTGGATTTTGATCCACGTTAGTATTACTAATAAAGAAAACAACTGAAAACTAGTCACACACAAAATATTTGCACTCAAACAACCCTCAAATACTTTGAGGGGCCTCCTTCTACCCCTTGATAGAAGGTCAGGTATCATTACACTATCAAATAATTTCCTTGGTTTCCTATTAGGCCAATTCAATGCTAGGAATCAAGTAGTACAAATACTTAGGGAGCCCAAGGAAATACTCAGGGAGCCCAAGGAAATAAATGCAGCTTACTTGGGGATCCCAAGGTCTGTTGGCACAGATTCTGGTCACTGAAGAAGATTCTTTCCCATCTGTCATGATCCAGACACATCTGTGGCAGAAAGAATCCCTGAGTTCAGGAAAAGGCAGCAAATAAATGTCAGAATTAATACCGTCTGGGGTTTACTCTTTTCAGACTCAGAAAACAATCATAGGACTTAGAACTACAATGGACTCTAGAGATTATCTTCACTTACATTCAAAACTGTGTTCTCCTTGCTGAGGTCATTCTAGAAAATGGTTTTATACAGAAGAAATGGGGCATTTTACTCAAGACTTGTGTACTGTAAATCTAAAAACAAAACAACTATAATACCTAGCTTTTCCAAACATGATGTAACCGTGGGATGCCCGCCCCCTTTCATTTTGAAATGGAGCACATATTTTTTTTTTTAATTATGGTAAAAGACATATAATAAGCACCCTGGTTTTGATCAGATTGTATATTTAGGTAGCTTTGTTTTTTTTCTAAGGTCCTGAAGACATTTCTAATATTTCTAATATCTGCAAAATGCTTACCATTTTTACTTAGCCTGTTTGTTTTGGGCAGGTTTCAGGAGGAAGTTTATGACTTACATAGTAGGCAAAATCTCTCCTACTCAAGCCACCCCTTGATAATGCTGTGGAAGAGCTGGTATGAGGGTTCTTGCAGAAGGGAGAGAATATATCCTACATGTGGAAGGCATATGAATTGTTGTGACCAAAGTGTGTCCTCTGATGTAGGGTTCAAAAATTCATCAGTTGTGTATAATACCCAGTGTAGTGTATAAACCTACATCAGAAACTAATGATGTGCTATATATGGGCTACCTGAACATAATAATAATTTTAAAAAAGAAAATAAATAAAAGCTAATCTAAATTACATTAATAAACTATAAAAACTAAAAAAAGGTGTCCTCGGCCAGACTGTGTTTTCCAAACATTGCCACCACAACAGGTCCTGTCAATGTGCTCTTCTTACAATGTGACCTAGACGCTCCTCCCATAGTGGGAGGGTCTCTGCCCTCTCCCCATGAATCTGGGTGGAACTTTGAAGGCTTCACCAATATAGTAAGTGGAAGTGACTCTTTGTGACTTCCAAGGCTTAACAATGCCATACACACCTGCCTTAGGAAGCTGGTGCCCAGAACTCAGCCACAATGCTTGAGGAAGCCCAAACTAGCCTGTGTGGAGAGATGCTGTGGGAAGGGCACATAAAGGTGTTTGAGCTAAGAACCTACCTGAGAACCCAGCTGACGGCCAGCACCAAACACCAAACATGTAACTGAAGATGCTACCAGATGATTCTAGCCCCTACCCTTGGGTTACCCTGTAGCTTCCAGTCTTCCCAGCTGAGGATCTAGACATCATGGAGCAAGGACAAGTCAGCTCCATTTCTCCTGTCCAAATTCCTGCTTTACAGAATCTGTGAATATATTGGAAGGGTTATTTTATACTCCTGAATTGTGTGGCAGGTTATGAGACAATAGTAACGGAAATGCATAAGAATGGGAGCTATGTATTTTATTTGCTGGATTTTTCTTTGCCAGTTCCAGGAAAGCTTTTGTGCTTCCTTTCCTTAAAAGTAGACTTTTCTGGAACCCTATCGCTCTTCTGCAGATTACATCCCAAAGATGGAAAGGAAGAAAATGGTTGCATGGGAGAGGGTGGGAGGAAAGGAAGAAAACTCTGGGTCAATCAGAAACTGTAAAGAATCTCTTGAAATTACGAAGTAGGCAAGAATAAAGAGGAAAACCTGCAGCCCAGGATGATGGTGGAAGAAACCTGCTAAAAGCCTCAAGGGTACATCAGACCAACTGGGAGGGAATCCAGGAGGAGGCGGCAGCTGAGAGCGACCAAGGTGAGAACAGGAGGGCAGCCCCCGAGCATCCCACCTCTTCCCCAGGCTTGGCAGCAGGCAGTCATGGTGCACGTTCTCACCTTCCACCAAGCAGTGGGCACAGGAACTCCGGGAGCAAGAAATAGAGGGCAGGGTCTTGGTATGCCTTAAGGACCAGCTGTGAGAGAGCCTGTCCTGACACATCACAGAAGCTTCTGCCACGCTAACTGAAAACAGTGAGTACAAGCCTGAATGGCTGTTCCTACACCCCTTCAACCAGTCTGCATAAATTGTTACAGCAAATCTGTAACACGGAATTTTAACATTAAGGTACCTAAGCAAGAATCAATGTTTGAGGAGAGCCAACACCATAACATAGAAGGGAGCGGGAAGATGAATGGAAAAAGGAAAACGTACAACTAAAGAAGTAGATTGAATAGTGCAATCATAGGAGGTTTTTTTTTTTAAAGACATGTAACTATATCAAAGGTTTAAAGAAATAATGTAATCAAAAGAATAGCTAGAACTAATAAAAGCTGTTGGGCATTAAAATTATACTTGTTGAAATTGAAAACTTAATATGATGCATTGAGAAGCAGAATGGGCACAGCTGAGGAGCAAATCAATTGGAAAATGAAGCCGTAGAATTTGCTCAAAAGACACAAAATTAAGAGACTTCATAGAATAAATCTAATTCCAGCATCCATTACATAAAGGAATTACAAAAGAGCCTAGAGAAAATTAAAATGTAAAGAAATAATTGATTAGAAATTTACAGAACTAAAGTAAAATGTGAGGTCTCTGGAAGAACTCATACCCAGTAGGATCATTTTTTAAAAAAAAATTATTCAGACACAGTTGATATTAGAGAACAGTCTTGTCCTCATAGCTTAGCTATTGGGATCAAGAACCAAGACCACCTGTTTAAACATGGCTTATGTGTTCAGGAAATCCTTCCCCAGAAAGATAAGGCTGTAAATCAATAAATACTTGCTGTTTACCTCAGGAAACTCCTGAAAACCAATTTGTCTGGGCAAAAGGTATGTGCATCTGGGCAAACAGTTTTCCTCTCTGAACAAGAGTGTTTACACCTGAGCAAACAGCTCATTTATCAACAACAGTTTATATATCAATATTTGCTTTGAGCTTCACTGTGTCCACCAAACTAAACTATTCATTAGGAATTTTGCCCAGTCCTAATCAGTTCCCTGCCTTGAAAGACCTTCCTTAAATCACATGAGCCCTGACTCCAGAACCCTGTAAATATCTTCCCCCTGACTTTGCCCTTCTGAGACACCACTAAGAGCCTCTCAAGGTGATGGTCTCCCTTCCTACAGTAGGTTTAATAAACTCAGCGTGGCTTTATCAAAGTTACTTTCAGTAGACATTTTGGGGAGTTGGCTATTGAAAACCCATGGAGAAACTTCACTGAAATAAAAGGAACACCCTTAAACCTTCTAGAGAGGTATAAACCGGTTACCTGCAAAGGAAGAAGAATCGGGTTGATGTCAGGCTTCGTGGCAACAGCAGTGAATATATAAAGACCCTGAAGTAATTATCTTCAGTATCTAAAGGAGAATAACTTTGAGCCTAAAAATCTATACCCAGACAAACTATCCTTTAAAACAGAGGTCAGCAAAGTATGGCCAGTGGGCCAGCCGTCTGTTTTTATAAATAAAAACTTCTTGGAACACAGCATGCCCATTCACTTATCTGTTGCCTTTACATACGTAGTCTGTGGCTGCTTGCACTACAATGGCAGAGTTGAGTGGCTCTGAGACCGTGTGGCCTGCAAGCCTAAAACACTTATTATTTGTACCATTAAAGAAGTTTCCTAGGGGCACCTGGCTGGCTCAGTCAGTAAAGCATGTGACTCTTGTTCTCGGGGTCCTGAGTTCAAGTCCCACGTTAGGCATAGAGCTTATATTTAAAAAGAAAAGTTTCCTGACGTCTGCTTTAACATAAAGACACTTACAGACATAAGCTTTCCTGAAGTTTACTATTCAGTCACCCTTCTTGGAAGCATCATGATGAAAATTATGAGGATAGGAAGAAAGGAGGTTCAGGATGAAGAGGGGAGATTTATAAAGGAACAAGTTACAATCACAGTGGTAAAATTGTTACATTAACATAAGTATTAAATACTTAAATTTTAAGGAAGACATCCCGTGCGGCGTGGGATTTCACGGAGACAAGTGAGATTGTGAGTAGGTAGCGGAACTCAAAGGGCAATAAAGCTCTTACCTTTTTGTTGGGAGTGTGGAGGATAGAAGAGAAAACTAACTCCAGGCAAAGTTTATTACTTCTAGATTATTTCTAGATAATTATGCTTTCTAGGCAATGTTAAGCATTTAAGGGTAAGCATTACAAGTTCACATTTAAGATATGTACATTTCCAAATGTACAGAAGGGAAAAGTGGAAAACAAAAAAATACCAGTTAACCCAGTTAAAGCAACTCAAAAGCATAGTAAGACAAATGCAAATAAGGCAGCAGGAATAAATCCAAACACGTCTATGAGTTTGATACATACAACACAGGTACTTTTAGTTCAACACCGTGTTTATCACATGCATCCTTCATGACAGGCATGATCATAGGCAGTAGAGACAACAATGAACAGAAGCTTACATTCCAGTAAAGAAACAGACACAAACTGGGCGCCTGGGTGGCTCAGTTGGTTAAGCAACTGCATTCGGCTCAGGTCATGATCCTGGAGTCCCGGGATCGAGTCCCACATCGGGCTCCCTGCTCAACAGGGAGTCTGCTTCTCCCTCTGCCCTCTTCCCTCTCGTGCTCTGTCTCTCATTCTCTCTCTCAAATAAATAAATAAAATCTTTTTATAAAAAGAAAAAAGAAACAGACACAAACCAATAGGTATCTCACATAGGGGTGCTATTTAAGAACAACAACAAAGGGGCACCTGGGTGGCTCAGTCGTTAAGCGTCTGCCTTTGGCTCAGGTCATGATCCCGGGGTCCTGGGATCGAGCCCCGCATTGGGCTCCCTGCTCCGTGGGAAGCCTGCTTTTCTCTCTCCCACTCCCCCTGCTTGTGTTCCCTCTCTCTCGCTGTGCCTCTCTGTCAAATAAATAAAATCTTTAAAAAATAAAAATAAAAATAAAAAATAAAAAAAAAAGAGGAAAAAGCTGGCGAGTGATAGAGGTTGGTCACTTTGGAGTCTACTGAGTCAGTCCAAACAATGTGTGATGGGGGCTCAGATTAGGGTGGGATTTGTGGGAATAATGGCAG